CGCAAAACAAAGTCGCGTTGAATCGACAGGAACTCCCCGCCCAAAACAAATTCAAAAGGTAGCGTTTTACAAGGGGGAATCCGCTTTTCCGACGACGGCACAGACGCCTCGCAGGAATTTCTTGCAAATCTCCCTTCGCAGGTCCGCAATAAAACGCAGCGGAATAAAAATAGAGCGCAAAGACGCAAAAAAAATAATCCTCCCAACCGACCAGGTGGCAGGCCGCCCTCGCGCAAGTGGACAAAACACAACTTCACTCCGGTCTTGTGGTGGTGGTCGTCTCGCAACATTTTTTTCCTTCTCGTCGCAGTGCACATCCCCCTCCCACAAATCATTTGTTCGGGCCATGTTCCTGCGGCCAAACATCGCGCTGCTGGATCCCGCGGCACAGTCCTCGGCACAGAAGTAAGTGAGGGGAGGAACAGGGACCGCAGAAGGTGCGAGCACATCCGAATTCGGTGGCGGTCGCTGCAGTGAAGATTGACGTCCCACGCGGTGTCCCTTTTCTAGGTCCGGTCCTCACCGTGCCATGCTCTCAGCGTGCGGTGCGCCGGCCGCGCCGAACATCCACACGTGCTTGCGTCTTACCGTCGCTCCCAGCCCCGTTCGTTGGCTGCATCAGGGATGCCGCCATCCGGAGACGGGCATAATGACGTTGCATCCAACAAAACCTTCAGAGGCACCCGCTGGGCCAACGACGACCATCACTGCGGGATGTGTGGCCCTTCCGCCGCTCACCCCAAATCGCACTTCTACACCTCCTCGAGCAGCAGCAGCGGCATAAATACACCGGCCCACTAGAGGCCGTCACCAGCCATTGCAGGAAGACCACTGTGCCTCAGTGCTATAAAACCCGAATTGCATTGACGGGCCACTTCGGAAAACCCTGTCGCATCCTCCCCCATTATGCGGAAACACATCCGTCGTGCATGTGGCCACCGCAGCCAAATGAATCCGGTCCAAATACCATCCAAATCAAATTCCCCTTTCCCCAAGCCATTCCTTCATTCCATACGCCCTGACCCTCATCCGCACGTGCCCACTCACACAAACCGCCATAGACAGATGGTGGCCGCCCAACGCTCCGGAAAAACATGCCCAGCACGCACGCGCATAACAAATGACATGCGCAAACGCACGGCACAACGGCGGAGAAGCGCACACCAAAAGGATGCGGCCCTCCACAGCAGTCGCAGCCCACCGCGCGCATCACACCCGCAGGAAGAGTGACTCGCGGTGCGTGCTCCCTCTCTCCTCCTTCCCTTCACGCCCACGAAGCAGCAGCCACCCGCAACCGCCAGCACACGCCACAAAAGAAGCATCAAAATCCACTGCAATGTGCATTTTGTGCGTGCATGTGGTTGTGTGTGCCTGCAGAAGCACGAGGCAAAGAAGTAAAAACAGGAGCGGAGCATGTGAAGGGACGCACAAACAAAAATGCACAGCAGAAGTGGATGGCAAAAATAAAGAGAAAAAGACTGCTCAAGCTCATGATATTGCACTGCAGACAAAGCAGCGGCAATTCATAAAAAAAATTATTAAAATTTAAAAAAATTCATCTTCACCTTTCCACACCTCACACTTTGGAAAGAAAAAAAAAATGAAAAAAATGAAAAAAGAAAAAAGAAAAAAAAAAAAGAAAAAAAAAGGCCGTCCTCTATTACGGCTACACCCAAATAATAATAAAAGAAAAAAAGAAAAAAAAACCACACACAAAAAAGCACCCAACCACCATGTTGCTCCAGAAATTGTCTGCATATTTTGTCCGAAAATAAAATTAAAAGATATTTAAGTGTCTTTCAGCCGTCCGACCCTCCATGTGTGTCCGCACATCGTTTATATTTCACGGGGTCATCTGCGTGTTGCTGCTCCCCTCAGCCCTCCCATCGGCGCGTGAGTGCGGCCCGCAGAGCACAGTCACTCGTGTGTGTGTGGGGACTGAGAGAAGCACGCAGACATGACGGGAGTCGCGTCTCTCCATCGGGAGAGTGAGCGCAGCAAAAAAAAGAAAAATCATCAGAGGGGAGAGAAATGCTCACGAGGCCGACCCCGAAGGGTGCGCCAGCGCAAAAAAACACACAGTGAGAAAGTCAAAGAGAGCAAGCAAAATTCCTTTTTAAAAGCGGCAGGGTGTGGCTGTGTGTGTGTGGCGCTGCGGGTGTCTGCCCGCCCTGGCCGCAAAGAAAACAAAACAAGAGGGAAAGAAATGTGTGCTCCGCCCCACAGGCCTTCGCCGCACGCCCACACGTCACGGCTCCCTCAGCGCGCCGTTCGTCGCGGCCCCTCCTCATGCGTGCAGCAGGCGAGGCGCACAGGGCCGTCGTCATGAGCGTGTCGGTGGGTGTGCGAGTGGAGCAGTTGGGCGGGAAACACACGGCACCCCTCACAGGAAGAGTGCAGCAAGAAACAATTAAAAGAGTAGAAAAGAAAAAATCACTTCCTTAGTGGTTGCCCTAAAGCAACAAGCAAGATAAGGGAAATAATTAAAGCAAAAACAAGAAAAAAAGAAAAGAAAAAAAAAGAAAGTGGAATTAACAAAATTCATTGGGTAATGCTGGGATGTCGCTCAGTTGTTGCCCCACAGAATTTCGCAACTTTGCTCTCCCCAATTCATTCAACAGAGAGCCGCAGTGCCCCACAGCCCCAGAAGCAGCAGCAACAACACCCGAGACACACACACATGCACGGTAGTGTCACCAATTAGATACATGGCCGCCAACTCGCCCAAATGCCCGTGCTCAAGCAAAATGCCAGTGTCCGAGGGTGTTGTTGCGTTGGACTCCGACGGGATCTTGGTTTCCCCAGGCGCTGTGTTTGTGTTACCCGGTGCGGTGTCGACCGTCTGTGGCGCCTCCTCGCCGTCTTCAGAAGAAAATTCGGCTCCTTCAGTCCGAGAGATGTTGTCGGTGTCCTCCGCGGATCTCGGTTCGGCGTCAATCTTTGAAGGAGTGAGGCTGCTGTCTGAGCTCATTGTTCTCTCGGAATTTCCGTCGCCCGCCTCGGGGCTGAGGCTTTCCTCCGCGCCAGTGGTTCCGGTTCCAGTGGACCGCACGTCGTCGTTTTCAGCGGGAAGCTCAGTGATTTGTCGCACTTGGTGCTCACCGTCAGCTGGTCCGGCGGCCGTTTCCATACTCAATGATACAGCCACTGGAAACGTTGTTTCGCCACTCATGTCATTCGTTCCTCCCTCCTCCTCTGGCTGTTCTTTATCATTACTTTCAGAGAACATTTCAAAATCGGTAACATCCGCTGATTCCGCTGACTGTAGGTCTTGTTTCTGCACATCTGAATCCCGCTGCATCGATTCACTGTCTTCATTCATTGTGGCTTGCGGAGACGTTTTGTCTTCGGAAAGTTGGGCATTGTCATCTGAACGAGAGTTCTCTGCGCTCTCCGCTGCGATGGCGGGTTCAGGAACAGAGGATCCCCCGGCAACCGTGGAAGAGGGCGCTGCAGGCACCAAAATATGGACGCTTTCTTCCTCTTGTTTATCAGTATAATCCTCTGTCAATTTCTCATAGATGGCGGTGATTTCTTCACTCCTTGACTCGGAAGCAACCAAAGCGCCCGTGTTGGCCGCCTGTCCTGTGGGTTGTTCCTCAACACCCGGTGATGGAATAGTGACTTTGCTGGCACAGAGTTCATAGAGACCATCATCTCCAAACAGTTTCTCATTGTACAGCATGACGTTGGTCACAGTAACATGGCCGCCCGTTGCACTTTGGTCCTTACTGTCCCCACCGATGTAGAAGTGTGAAATCCTGTGGAAGTCAAACAGACTCGTATTATATCTCTTGTTGTGGATTTCCTCTCGATCTACAAAGACAGTCCAATAGTGACAATCCATTCGCAGTACCACCTGATACGTCCTGTTTGGCTCCCAATCATCAACAAGCTTCACATTACCGGAATTCTCAGGTATGGCCAACCACTTCTTTTCATGGGTGTACGACAGACCAAAGAGCACCGTGCTGCTGGTGTCATTCATCCTCACGCCAATCAAAGGAATGGGCCTGCTGTCTCCCTTCGGCACCTCGTGGATGGAAACCGTCGCCACAAGAGTGAACTCGTTGTTCGCAAAGTAGTACGGCACAGTCTGCCCCATGTCGCCAACGGGCCATTCTGCACCTGCTCCAGACCCTTTGAACGTCAATCCATTGGGAACCCCTATCCTTTTTTCCGTTGGGCCATGGACTGTTGCATTCACGCCGAGGTACTCGTCTCGCCACTCGGTCTGAGTTGAGTTACCAGACAAGAAGCCAACAAGCCTCTCAGTGGGAACACGACCATTGCACATACCCTTTTTGCGCGCGTCAACAGTGGCACTGGAACCGGAACTGCATGTTCTCAAGGCGCTGTCCAAATCCTTCCATGTCTTCACCACTTTCTTTATCCGCTCCAGCTTCTCGGTCAGACGCACAGCAACAAGACTGTATGTTCCGTCCTTCTTCTTGTTCTCGTACAGTGAAATCAACTCCTTATTCTCATCTTTCATCAACAGCGAGCTGGCGGCAGCGTCATCATCTTCACGGGATACCGGCCCAACATCATACACACGTGCCTTGTCCGTCACCCAAAGATGGAGCCGACCTTTTCCACCCTTATTGTCGTCCTTCGGATACACCGGCGCGGTGATGAGCATCACCTTCTTTCCCTCAATGACTGCGGTGGTGGATCCACTCTGGACGCCGTCCCCTGTTCGATTACGTGAGTTGCCCCACACGCGAGTAATTGGCTGACCCGATGGATACCAATTGACTCCATGCGGAGTGGACATGTAAACGTCATAGTAGCCTCCAGCACAATGAGCCATCATGAAGAGTCTTTCGTCGTCGTCTTCTTTCCACTTCACCAGGGTTGGATCCCTGCAGCCGTTACCAGGCGTCTCGGATGAAAGCTCCCATTTGTTCCTTTGCTTGGGGAAGCTCATAGACAGTAAAACGCGCTGTCCGTCCTTGTTTTTGGCTTGCATGGGAAACACAAGCGTGCCGTCACCCATCACATCACCCGATCCTCCACCGCCAATTAACTCGGTCAAGGAATGAGATTCTCCTTTGGGTTCAGGCTTCACCACATGGGTCTCATTCCATTTGATTTTCTTCTTTCCACCCTCATCAGCGACAGTCCCCTTCACGAGTAAAAGGCCCCGCTCATTCGTACCTTCAACCTGCGGCTTTGTACGACTGTAGTTTCCCAGGAGCACGTAAACACTGTCCCCAATTACAAGCGTCGTTGGCCGCAACAATTCCGTTGTCCCAAAATTATTCGCGGCGGTGTCCACAAGCTGCATGCAAAACAAACTTACAGCCGACGTTGAAATATCCATTGAGTCATCAGTTATATTTAGGTGCTTTGACACAATCCCAGCACAGCTGCCGGCTCCATTCCTTTCCTCGCACCGCGCTCCAGCAACGGCAAATACATCATCACCCACTTTAACGAGGCCAGGAACACGGAGCGAGGTGATTTTGCTTCCGGCCTCGTTAAGCTCCCTCCAATTAGCAAATGATATCGACGTCGTCCCTGTGAAAGGATCAACAGCGGCCCCTGCCTGCTCAGCGTGCGCAGCTCCACTGCCACAGCACATCAACAAGACAAGTAGGAGCAGCACCGCGGAATTAAACACACGCCGGGACATGCTGGACCTCTGCGGCTCACTCTCTCCTCCTTCCCTCCTCCTTCCGCTGGATCCGCTCACGCGGCGACGGTTGTGTTTTTTGGTTGCCTTCACTGCAGCAACACGTGAGAGCATATAAATATGTGTGTGTGTGGGCGGTGTGTGTGTTGTTGGTCCCTTCAGAGCCTTCAAATTTCACAGTAGCGTTTAGCGTTTATTTTCTTTCTTGGAGAAGAGCAACAGGCAACAGCGGAAAAAAGGCAGCACAACAGCAGTACACACCGTCACCACTCACAGCAAACCACAACATCACCATCCCCGCAGCCATTATTCTCCAGCACCTCTCAACAGCATACTAAAAAAAAAAACATGTGAACGACCTCCCAATGGGGGACCGCAGGCCATGGCCCTGCAAATAAGACGAATGACAGGGGACCACGTGTGCAGTGAAAAGCACGAGAGTTGCACTGCAACGGCACGGCTGCGGGACAACCCGTTGGGAGCATCGATGCAGACCAGCATGTCACGTGCAAGAAGAATTGCTTATTCCTCTGAGCAGAGAGGAAAAACAGCCTCAGCAGCCCAATAATAAAAGGTCGCCTGCTCCTCCTCGCGGCACCCACACGCTCTGCAGGAGAAAAGATGCAGACGACGCTCTGCTGCACGCATAACAACCGTTGCACCCGTCGCAATGGCAACCGCATCCTGTGGCACACCACGCCGCAGTGGACGCGTACAGTCTCCGTCTCCCTCCCTCCTTTCCCCCTCCCTGAGAACTCATCGGTGGCCGTGGCACACCCACCGGCATGTCAGAAAGCAATTGTGTTTCTTCCTCCGTCGCATTTCGCACAGCAGCACCGCCAAACGCATGTCACTCCTCCTTTCGCGGATTCTCCTCAGACACGCCTCCCACCACATTCATCAACCCACAGCCACACAGTCCGTAAACGCTACGCAGCCGCCCCGCACGATGGTGCCGCACAAACCAACACGGCGCCCCGCCACTCGGTGCAAGCAGTGTCTGGACACACAAAACAGGTTGCCCCAGACAACGACAGCCCCCTCCAAGCGTTGAGACAGGACTCGTCAGTAACAATCAAACAATCAGCCCCTCGTCTCCTCCTTCCGCCATGCACGAGGTTTTGCCTGCCCCATGCATCATCTGTGACGCCCAGGCTCTCAATGAGCGAGCAAAACGCTATGCTCCCCTCGGCTCAACGAGACGCCCTCTGAAGATTCTCAGCCAGTCCTCTCCCCAGGCTATGCATGAAGAGCACCATGGCAAGAATGCACAGGAGCTTGCATGCAAAACTCCAACTCATTCCGCGTCAATGAAAAGTATGGCATCAGACACTTTTTTCACAAGAGTGTCGGCTGGCACTCTCCCGAAATTTCAATACACATCGCACGTGATCACAGCAAAGAAAAAGCAGCGCCTCCAGTCAAACTGTCATTCCGCGGCGGAGATCAAAGCACAATCCAACAAAATGCCGTAAATTATCATACATTCCACAAAGACCATCGACAGCTTACACGGCAAATGCACAGCTCAGAAGAAGGGTCATGCTCACAAACACGCAACGCACAGACACAGAGAGAGAGTTGGGGGAGGCAACACCAAAGCAGCCTCAGCCAACGACAGAAGAGCTCGTGGGCGCTGCACCCAAAGCCATTCCCTGTGAATGCAAATGATAATAGCACCAAACAACATGAAGCACCAGTCGGGCACAACATATGGGCCACAGACACCACGTACCCACCCATTCACTCTTCCTCCTCCCAATGGCGTGGCCCTCCTTCACCTCCACGGAACCGTTTCCTGCTCAGTCATGCAAACTTCTAACGCAGGCACTCAAGTGGCGTTTCGGCAATCCAAAATTCAACACCTCAGAATGGCAGTGGAAATGCTTGCAGAAACCACACGGCTCCTCAACGCACCTTCCAAGCCTCCTCACGACTCTGCAATGCGGTGGCGAAGAATACAGGCGGCTCTCGTGTCACAGAGGGCGGCCAATGGGAGCGGTGCCCACATGCAGAAAATGCCAAGATGTGAAGCAGAAAAGGCGGGAGAAGGTTCGCAGAGGGTGTCACCTGCCACGCGTGATGTGCGTCGTCTCATTCGTGCAACGGAGAAGTAATGACACGGTTGTTGCGGTGCCTGCCCGTGCCTGCACCTCACACTCGGGCCAATAAAAGCCTCAAAGAACATCCTGCCGAGGGCAAGCAGCTGGCCGTGCAGACAATCCCGAGTCCTGCCAACGTTCCAGCAGCCGCTCTTTTGGCGAGGCGTCGCTCTTTTCCTTCCTTGTCTCCCGTGTGCCATCCTCGTATGGAGAGAAAACGCTCTCCACAACTGGCGTCATCAAGCACCTCCAAATAAATTAGAAAGGAATCACGGCCTCGAGAAAAAGCATCCAAAGTGGCAGTCAACGTGAACTCTGCAACGCATGTCATCTTCTGCAGCCGCGTGCATTGCAACTCCCCTCAGCCGCCCACTGTTTCTTCCTTCCTTGTAGACCCAAACCGCATAGTACACTTGGATTTGCTTGGGTCCTCCACAGGCTCGCATAACCGTTTCCACCACGCCCGTGCAGCTCGTGACAGCATCACTTCTCCGTCCACTTCTGCGCCACCGAATAACGTGAAATAAAGTTCCATAACACCACATCTGCAAGGCAAACACACATGCATCACTCCAACGAGTTCCCACCGTGAGAAACCACACGGCGGCACGCACTCTCGCTCTCCCATCAAAAGTTTGCCGTCAGCAATCACAACGGCATTGAGAAGCAGCCTCGGGGCAATCCCTGAGAGCCGTCCCCACCCCGGCGAGCGACCGACTCCGGGAACCCTGCACTCCAGTGCCGTTCCGGGAAGAACTCCTGCCACCGCCAACCGTGTCCCCCTGTCGCGTTGACACACGGTGCTTTCTTCGCAAAACGACGCGCTCCATCTTAAAACGTGCCTATGAGAGCGCAGGCAACAGGCGCAGGGCGCACCATCGCATCGTCCTGTCACAAAATAAAAAGAGAGCATCCGTGCCAATTTGCCGCAGCACTCATGGATGTGCTTCTGCTGCCTTCTCTCGTGTTTTCCCAAATAAATCCTATGGTCCGCACTGCAATACCACGTGTCCTCACACCTCTTGGTGCCACGGCTGTGCTCCGGCAATACGCGGCTGGTTCGGACGCTGTTCGATGACGCCAGCCCCGCGCAAACAAAAAACATCCCATGAGAGAAACATTGCTGGCGCCTGGCCTCCCCGACAATACGGGGGATTGGCCCTGCGCCACGATGTGGCAGTCAAGCACGAAATCGCAGGGCAAAGCAATGACGGCACCGGCACGAAAAAGCCGTCCCGCCCTCAATGGAATGCGGCGCCTCACTCCATGCGGTTACACGGAGTGCACTGTTTCCTCAATAGAGGTTGTCCGTCGTCCATCCCTCAAAGATGCTTCTGTTGTTGATGGGTCCTAGAAAAAAATAATAGAAGGAAATGAACAATGCAGCAATACTGCGATGCCGCCGGCCACGACGATTCCCTCACAAGAGAGCAATTCTCCGATTATGCCTCGTATGCACACACAAGCATTCACATGTATGAAACAACCCCTAATGTTTTTTAACAAAAATAAAACCGCCCCTTTCCCCACCAATTTCCTCTTCTGTCACTGATATGTCCGATAGCATTGGACATCTTCGACATCTGTGTGCGATACTGTCGCCTGGTGCTGCTGCACCCGCACCGCATGCGCGCACAAAAGTATTCAAAGAGGTGAAACAGCCCCTGAACCCTATTTTGCCAGAAATCAAACTGTGCCCGTTCATTCCCCAATTCTTTTTTTCATTTCTTCGTTTATTCCTCACTTCGGAGGGATTTTTCTCTTCTAACGTCTTCGGATGATATTGACACTTGGTACTGGCGCACCTTTTCCCTCCAAAACACCGCAATGTCTTTTTAATCGTCGCTCACATTATCGGAGTTGACGACATCACATCTTTGCCAGTCGTTCATCGGCATGCCGTCTGCCCGCTGCACATAAATAATCTCCCACGACATGTCTCGGGATAACTCCTCCCAACCACCAAAATACGCCGCCAGGCACTCAGTGAACTGCCTCACAGTGCTGGCTCTGGTGTGGTGCCCACCCGCCGTAGTCATCCGCAGCCCAACCAGAGTCATTGGATTGGACTCCGAGAAAAAAAGGCGTCCACCAGCGGAAAGTTTGTGGCCCACGGTTTGTACAGCACCCCGTACTTTATTTTACGGATCGTTTTTTCATATTCACTCGGCAGCAAACCCTCACCTCCCTTGGGATGCAATTCAGGGGCCAACTTCAAGACGCAGGGCTTTGCTTGACGTCCTGTTGGCGGCTCAAACTCCGTGAGTTTCGTCGCTATTGCCTTGACAAAGGCACTCTCCGTCAACGATTTCAAAGCAAACCATCCAAAAAATATTGGCAAAATATTATCCTTCGACGCCAACATCAGCCTCAAAAAGCCATTTTGTTCTGTTACACTTGGGAAACGTTCCAATGTCCGTTCCTCGAGGCAATCAGATATCGGTGCATTGAAAAGGATCACACCGCCTGCGTATATTTCCCGAACAACCTTCACAAACTTGTGGGACGGATCCTCAGAATACCATGGCGACTCACCTCCCCGTGAAAAGTGCTCCTTCACAGTTACCTCGTTGATCAATTGCAATGCAAACTTCACCGCTCCACAG